ATTGTCAAATGCCCCTGAAAGGAGAGGCATGCAGTTACATCACTGCGGTTAAATTCCAACGAATGAATGGAAGAAGTCGGCTCCACAGCGCAGATGTCTCCCCCCACAGTGCATCTTTTTACTTACTTACAGAACTCGGTACATTAGTCTCTTGAGACCTTCAGACATTCAGATGAGCAAAGGCTTTAGAAAAGTGACGTGTTTGGTGTCACATGTGGCTTAAAAAGACGTCCGCTTGAAGCTCTGCATCACACCTCCGGTGTTCATGGACGTCTTCCTTCAGCCATTCTCTAAAATGGTGTCCTGTACTCTGTTGCATTTCTGTGATTTATGATTTTCTGATTTCCCAATGTCCATACAGCTTGTAGCAGCACAAAACAAATAGCTTGCTTCCCCTCTTGGCTTTTCTCAATATTTATTAAGAAGCGCAGAGTAGAATCTGTCTTAACCAAAACAGACACGTTTGAGAAGAGTCATCCAATTATTACAACCTCTGTTTCCTCGATCACCAGCGCCATCCGTGCATATAATTATTTTTACCGAGCACTCAAAAGTGTAATAAGGACGGTGCAGACTTTGGATATTTCGAGATTGATTGAACCACTTTGCGATTCCGAAAAGTTTCATATTTAGCTTTAACAAAACCACGAAGTCTCACGAAACGCTGGTGTTAGCCTGTCTAACTAGCTAACAATAGTTACTGTCCGTCTTTTTCTGTCACGGAGCGTTTTTTTGTTTTTCCTCGCGGGCCTCTGTGGCCGTCGCAACCAGACGCCCCTTTTGGCCGAAGTCCACGTGGCACAAAAAGGCAGCGGCATTCCTGATGTCTGGTGGCTAATCTGCGGTGTCAGCTTGTGTTAACGCCGCACCGCAAAGTTTGAGGGCACGCGGGGCCGGGGGAATATTAACTCCCATCAGCAGCATTCCTCCAGAGGAGGGAGAGAGAGAGAGCAAGGGTCAGCTAAGGTTGAACTGCGGTTGTGTGTTCGAGGCGCTCGTACTGTAACGGTCTGATCCGGCGGGCCGGAGGGGGGAGCGCACTTCAAAGAGGGAGAGCGAGCGCCTCTCTCTCCTCGTCTGGCCTCATTGAAACTGGGCTAAATGAGCTTCGCGAGGGGCTTTTGTTCCTGCCGGTAGACAATTCACAGACTGGACGGAAGATGCCCGAAAAAAAAGAAAAAAAAAAGGACAGGAGGTCATGTGTGTAGTTCATTATCTGCCGCTCAAGCTGCCGGACGCTTTTCTGCACGCCACCCCAATTGACTTGTAAGGAACCATGAGATGTTGTTCTGCTGAATGCGAGAGGTCCAGCGAGTGAACGCTCTGACCGTTCCTACAGTGGCCACATGTCAAATTTCACACAGCCATGAGACAGAGACTTTGTACTCGAGCGCCGGCATTTCTCTCTCCACACATCCGACCTCGCAGCTTCCTACGCTAATATACAAAGAGTCCTTAGCAGCTCACATAATGGGCCGTGACATTAGCCATGACTGATGACTGACGGATACAAACTCTCTGTGGGGGGGTTTTTCCGGTCGGCCGGAGTAAAACTGAGGCCCATACCTGCGCTCGGCCCAGAGGAACATGATAGCCGAAGAATCCGACGTATTCCTGGTTGTCTCAGGCCGCTGCGCAGACATGTAACATGTGCTCTGCTCTCCTCGGGTCCCACAGGGGGCATGGACAGGAATTCAGGGTCAGGGGTCAGAGAGAACATGTGCATGTGCACTGCTGTAGCTTGGCAACAGGTGCTATGCAGAAGCCAATCAGCCCTTTAGGATTGCAGCAAACCTTCAATCTAATGTTTCCACATCATATTTTTTTTACCTTTTTGTTATAGAATAATACTACTACTACTACTAATATTTTCTCTATGATATTTTTTTGAAATGACTGATTAGACGTTAGACAAGGCGAGCCGCTCGCGAGATACAACATCTGTGCAGAGAGAGAAGCTCGGATAGCTCAGAGGTGGTTAGTGTCTCGGGGAAATGATCGCTCTTTGCCAAGGTATTCCTTTCCCCTCCTGAGAGGCCCAGCCATTCAGCGCCGAGGTCAACGAGTACAGGCCGTTACCCACAATGCCCTTGAACCAGGGTGGAAAAAAGGAAAGAACCTGAATATGCAGAGCGGTTCCTTTAAGATGGTAAGACTGGAGCTGCGTGAATGCACTCCGAGGCAGAGCTGCAGCCAAGATGGGAGAGGAGACGAGAGGGAGGAAAGGGGGCCAGAGAACAGAGATCCTCTACTAATGTGTGGAAGGATAAACTTGTGTTGCCCCTTTTTCTGCAGCAAAGCTCCCAAGTTGAAAGTATTCATATTGGAAAATTATGGGTGTCAGTTTGCTGATTGCGCCGCTCGACGAAGAGGAGTGTTGTTGCTAGGAGAGGAGAGACTCGGCCGTCTCTCATTGGCCACTAGGATACGTGAGATGGGCCAATGAGAGCCCTCCCCCTAACAGCAGCTATAGTGGAGCGACCCCCACATGCAGACCTGATTAATATGTCAGACATGTTTTATGGGTTAACGTGAATCAGGCTGCACGTATTGAAAAGACTGCAGCAGGGATTGTGTGTGTGTGTGTGTGTGTGTGTGTGTGTGTGCGTGTGTGCGCGCGGGGGAGTGTAAGTCTGTACAGTATTTGTGCCAGGGGAATATGCCAGACTGACATATCACACACACTACTATGAGCTCCATCAACCATCACAATTCTGAAAGCAATGTTCACACACGCACACACGCATGCACTGACTGTAGTGATGGACTAACTCAAAACAGACCAGAGGAAATAGGGAATAGGATTCCTCACATGTACATGATTATCACGAGAATGCGGCGCTCAGAAGAGAAACCGGAGTGAGAAACTAGACTCTTTTAGTATCATGATGTGACTTTAAAGAGGACTGCGGTCTATTCTACTGTACAGATGATCATTTGTAACAGGCAAACTGAGCCTGACATTTAAAGACACCAACGCACCAAGGACCCACCTGGGTTTTGTTTAGAATTACGATGGTGAAGCTCTGAGGAGGTGACTACTTCGTCATTTGCTCGCCGGCCTTGTAACCGCTGAGCTTGAGCCGCGAGTTGATAGCGTAGCTTAGCATGAGCGCTTGAGCGCAGAGTAAGAATGATTGAAATCTCCCCAGTGAGTGTGGAGATCTATATCACATTGCATTGGGACGGTAACTCATTTTTGGTTGAGGGATTTGTAATATACAGTTTTTTGGTGAACAGTCATTTCATATCATTTTCACCACATAAAGCAAACTTGTATTTCCTGTCAGTTACGTTGCATTGATGATATTTTGTATCACCAATCAAGACCTACTGTAGTGGATAACTGCTGTGAGTCTAATCGTTAAAGATGCTCTGATCTCCTGTAATGTGAAAAGTGCCGCACACAGTGACAAACGCACATGAAATTGCCACCCGAATGTCTTTGCATTAAAGAAAAGGAAAGTCCTTCTCCAGCACTCACGAAGGTTCCCCTTTATTCTACAGAAAAATACATTGTCCATATAGACAAAGTAGTTCCAGACTAATTGCTCTTTTTATTATGGGTAGGCCATAAAAACATCTCCGGGCCCCGAGTGCTGTAGTGAGTGTAGTGCGGCCCAATAACTGTAGGGTTGAGGTCATAGTCTTCCTCCGATGGTTAGTGCAAACATTACACCAGCGATTTAAGCATGATTTAGTTTCCCCGTGATGTAATCTAACATGTCTTAAAACGCTCCCGCTGACTGCGGCAGTACAGATGTTTTCAGTGGGTTCGGACTTTAAACATCTTTTGGATTTACACAAACGGCTCCAGCTCGCCGACCTATTTCTATCCCAAACAAACTAAAAATAAATACTGTGCTTCTTACACCACAGCCGATCACAAACCACTGACTGCTTCAATAGACGTTACAATAACTGCTGCTCAGTCCGGGCTTAATAAGAAAGTGATTGTTCACGTGCACGTGTGTACGTGGTTCTGAGCAATAAACACTCCTGTTAAATGAGCGGCACCAACGGAAGTGGATCAAAACATGAAGCGTCGTCGTGTTCACGTATTCCATTTAGATTCTTAGAAATCACTCTCATTCTAACATAGTGTCCAATCGGTTGTAACTATCGATGATAAAACTAAAACTTTGAAAGAACTAATTGGCCAGAAAGAAACCGTTTGATTTAGAGGTTTTCTCTTCAGAGTTTTGTTCCCGCTGCTTTAACCAGCTGTCAGGAACACACACAGAGGGTTTTTTTTTTTGCAGCTTTTGTTCACTCCTCTATGGAAATGCGCATCTGTTCTCCGGCCACACACGCAGGCTGAAAAGTGTAATGGGAAGCTGCAGTTAGTCTTAATATGCTGTTTCAACTTTGATCTATTCCAACGTTTTACATCTTTTTAGTTATTAATCAAGTATTTCCTTTCCTTTTTTTCTTCTATTTTTACATTTCACCCTTGGATGGCAGAAACATTTCTTTTCTTTGCATTCTGTCTTTGTTTTATTCATATATAAGTGAATACAGATGTGTATTGGACCACAGATTGGGACATCACCCCTCTTCAGGGTCAAAGCCAGGCTCCTCCAGTGTTTGCGGCACGTGTTTTGAGGAACAGGATGGGTCGGCACGCGCAGACTGTCCAGTTGTGAGAAGGTCGCAGGTTCGATCCCTGCTGTATGGACTGTTTATCCCGTCTTTCTCTAGAGCCTGCGGCCCTTCAAGTGTTGAACGGTTGAGATTGTCACTGCAGAACAGGCTGCTGCTGACGAGGGTTACAGTTGCTTCTCACAAACCCAAAGACACAAGCAAGATAATGTATCACACAAGTCATTTTCGTTCAGCCTTTGTTTTTCTATTCTTTCTTTGTTGCATTTTTTTTTATTTCAAAGTAAGTAAGTTAATTTCCCGACTCTGCAGATTTAGAGGGACCGAGGCGGCTGAAATGCGATCTCGTGTTGCCCTCTAGTGGATGATGGTCTCACAGCAGCCAAAAAGACAAAACATTAGCAGCACAAAGTTTTATTGGTTTTCACATAACACATTAGTTTCAGATCAGCTTTAATCCGCTTTGGTCCACTTGTGACTTACACAGCAATTAAAATGATTTCCCCGGATATCCTTTAATCTTAGGAATAATATATAAAAGGAATATACTTTGGGTTTGGCAAAATGCCTATATGTAATTCAACTATACATAAAGAGTGAAAGCACATCATTAACGCACAAGTTTAAAGTCAGTAATATAAATACAGTATGTAATATATGCATATAAAACCTTCTAATAAACCTTAGTAATGACACGTGTCCCCAACTCAAGACTTTTGCTCAGAAATTGTTACAACTGAGAGAAATCAAGTGCCTTCGCAGTTTTCATGTGTACATTACAGTTTATTGGCATAAGAAAATTCTCAAACAAATGTCTTTAAAATTTGGAGCATTTGACGTTGAGATAATATTTGCATTGGTTAATTTTCTGTTGCAGAGCCGTTGTCCTGATCTAGACTCACTGTGGATAAACACATATTATGAAACACAACTATTTCTGCTGATTTAACTCTTGGCCCCTGACAATATTAAACAATATTTCGTTCTGAATTTAGAAATTTCAAACTTCAAATTTCAATTTCAAACAATTTAAGGGAGTTTTTGTTTTCAATACAAAAAGTATAACTTTCCATTATTCTTCAGTACAATGCATAAAAGGGAATATCGGTAAGTTATTATTAAAGCATTTTTTAAATGTTATATCTGTTTACATATAGATGCACCACAACTTTGTAAACTCACTTGACAGCTCAGGCAATTTTATTGACACATGAGTATAAACTCTGTAAAAATACAATATACAAAACAATGTGTGAATGTGTTAAAAAAAGGTTTGTTTGACACTTGTGGTGGTTGAAGCATCGCGTAACCTGAAAAACACAAGTTTGACGGCCAACGTATAATAAGTCAGAGTACCAGTCTAAGGTTGATATAAAAGTATTATGAAAATAGTTATTAAAAATAACAAGTATCTTGGAGTTCATTGTACCGTTAGTCTACGGTTTAAACTTTAAGGCCTTCCACCCTAATTAAAAGAACGCATCTCTGCCCAAACAGCGTGTACGCCGCTTAACCACTGTGCAGGGGCTCTTTTGTTTGGGGGCCATTGAAAGGATTCAGCGGCTCATTTAAGTTTCTCACGGTGACGTCACAGCCGTTTAACGCGCCGTTGTTACCTTGTGATCCGCTGATCCCTACTGAGCTGAGGCAACACTTTCCAAAGTGAAAACGTGTAGAGGAAAAGGACCCGGCGTCATTAGTGAGTCGAGTGGAAGCCCGGCTAAACGGAACACTGCACCTTTCTTAATATATCGCAGCAGAGATATAGTACCATCAGGAATACAGTGGTTATAGTGTTTTTGTACATATTGCTGCTACTACATTCATTAAAGAAACACTTATATGTAACAGAAGCAGGGTTATGCAGAGGCGTCGAAGGTACCATGGAAGCCATAAGCCATGTTAACAGGCACATAAGCTCTTGCCAGTTCTTCAAAGCTCTTTGAATCCAAAACCAAGAGGAATGCTCCTTTATCCTGGAGAGAAAATAGATCCAAATGTCACGGTGTGGTTCACTTCATGTTATATTTTGTAGTTTTCTGCCACTCGTGTCCCCGGGTAACTTCACTTCCTGCCTTGTCCCGTCATTCCCTGTGATCGTCTTAATAGTTTCCACCTGTGTCCAATCACCTGCACCTCCCTTGTGTATTTAAGCCGTGTGTCTCTTGTGTCACTGGTCGCGTCATTGTCTTTCGCCACGCATGTCCTTGTCTCTTGTTGTGGGTATCTGTAGTTTCATGCCTGTGTGTTTTTGCCCCTTGGCCTTTTGGATTTTGGATCCTTTTGACTATTAAAATCTTTTGTTTCGGAGAAGTCTGCATCTGAGCATCTGGGTGCATTCCACCCGCATCCCTGACACCAAACATCTTATTTCACAAGTTTGACATCTGTGGCTCAATGAGGCAATTAAAATGGACGGGTCAGAAACATGCTGCAGTATCTTTAAAAACAAGAGGCCATACGTAACTGGATTTTATCGATTATATTTTTAGTCTTGTCTGCACTCTCTCAAAGTTACTGATTGACAGTAGCTGCTGATCACGACATTTTAATTTAAGCTTTAATTCCTCCTTTGACATTTGATTGTTTAAGAAACCGAAAGAATTCTGTCATCAATACATATTTAATCTCCCTTATAAATATTGATGAGTGTTATGTGGCCAGTTAGTTACTTGGATGGATATATATATATATAATGTTATGAAGTGGCACATATTGACCGTGCTGTAAAGACAGTCATTTCTAACCTTTATTCCCATCATGTAGACTCTCCTGTGAAACCGAGTCTTACCTGTGAGGGGCTGAGAACCACCGAGAGGATGAGTCCTTCGTCCTCTTCCACGGCATCAGGCGACGCCACAAACGCAGGCTCTGAAGGGAAGAAACCCTTCTGCTGCCACACCTGAGCTCACGCGCGCACACACACACACACACACACACACGCTTGTGTATCATTTTCACAGATAGTGTTACATAATACCTTTAACGTGATTATTTTATAGTAGTTGATGTAAATTATGAAACTTCAACTAAAAACCAGTGTTAAGAGCCGTGCATTTTGATTTATTCATTATTTTAATTATTTGTCAATGGGAGAATTGTGGATGTTGCTCAAATTTCTAGCATGAAATAAACAAGGCGGATGCTATTTTCTATGATGAGGACGATTTCATGTTGCTATTCCTACACACACACCAACCAACCTTAAATGTCTTGTCCTTCAGGTCCATCTTGAGCAGCGAGTCTCCCACCAGGTGTCTGAAGCCACAGCCATAGAAGTAGCGGTATGGCCGCGTGTTGTTTCTTCCATAGTTGATCTGAGGGAACTCAAGGCCTCCGTACTGGTGGAGCTCATCTCCATGGAGATCCTCGTGTTGGCAGAACACCTGTAGACAGAAATGAGACAGTCTGCTCTCCTTTTTGATCATCAGGGTTTTTACTGCTGACTTGATGAGAAGATTGACAGAAGCTAAACAGACTTGTCAGGTGAGGGGAATGAGCTGTAATCAGGGGGGAGGAAACCAGGTAGCAGATTAAATAACAGGAGAATCAGGGAAAAGGGAAGCGGTGGAAACACAGAGAGGAGTTTCTTCCTTTAGGTCATCTGGGTCCTGAGCCGGTGACTCATCTTTAACTCATAACTCAATCACAACAACCTTCTTTTATTCATCCACCTGTTGAATATGATATGTGTTTAAATCCTTTTGAAACTCAATCATGGTTATACGGTTTCCTTTCAATTTTTGGTTGCAATATAGTTTTATTTTTGAAAATTATTTTATTAATTTGTCTGTGTGATTCTTGCTCCGGGAGGTTAAAATCATTTTTCTTCAGGTTGGACTGTGTGCGTGACAAATAAATGTTGATTAAATAAAAAAATGTGGTTTACCTGACGACTACAGTTACTCTGTGACTGTGTTAGTTAATCATTAGGGAAACCATTTAGTAAGATATGGAGACTTGTATCATTTTTGTGTCCACCTCCATATATACGTATGAAAATGAATGAAAGATAATAGTTATATGTATATATATACTTACGCATTCCATCACATACTTAGGGGCTTACCTTCTGCATATAATTAGGTGTATTTTACCTATTCAACAAAAATGTTCAGAGTCTTAATGCATCTGTAATAATATAGTTAATAATGTATTTTTACATTACAGGTCATTTAGCAGACGCTTACATCCAAAGCAACTTTACACTTTAAACCCATGTCTTTTACATTTTTCCCCAGGGAGCAATTAGGTGTCTTGCTCAGGGACACTTCGACTTGAGACATGGGGAAGCCGGGACTTAAACCACCAACCTTGCGGTTCCCAGCGCACCCGCTCTACCCCCTGCGCCACAACAACCCACCTTTTCTATTGTATTTTTCACTATTGGTAAGGCTATTTTTTTACACCGAGGTATTGCTACTTCTAGCAAAGTAAAGAATTCTTCTAATATTATATGAGCTTGTCCGGACGCATTTAGGAACCACTCACCTTGTCGTTGCTGACTTTGACACACGTCGCTGAGCTGGAGAGCCGCGTGTTCAGGTTCTGGTCCGTTGGAGTTTCACCGGTCACGTTGAGAGGAAGAACAAATCGCCGAGGGAATACTCTGCCCATGGTGTTGTACACCTGGGAATGACGCCACACAAGCGCAATGGATTATGGGTGGAATTTAGAGGTTCCTCTTTTACAGTATGTCTTTCTGTCGTTTGGTGCATAGAGGAGATTTAAAACAGCTGCACTGGAAAACATAAATGGATTATTAAAAAAAAAAAAAAAATCTAAAACTATCAACAGACCGAATGCAGAAAAATAATTCTTGAGTATTAAACACAAAATATTTTCAAAGGAATAAAAATAAAGAACGCCCATGATGCTGAGAAAGTATATGACTTCATCTCAGGGTGTTTTTTTCATTAGTTACTGCACAAAAGAGGGTTGAATAATGTCATTTTATAGTGACCTCATCTAAGGCGTCCCCCGACTTGCGTAGGTTCTGGATGAGGTAGTTGTTGATGGCTTGGCCGTTGTCTGAGCAGCACAGGTCGATCATCAAGAATCCATCTTCCTCGAAGGCGTTGATCTGATGGAAGGTGGAGATGGCTTTGGTGTGGTACTTCACCGAGCTGACCTGAGGTACAGAATAAATTATTAGACTCCGGATCCAAAGTATTTCCTCCGAAACCCCGTCAGACCTTTTCATCGACTTTCCTATGAGTTTCCTAAAAAACGAAATCGTAACGGTCACATCCCACCTCCCCGTTTTTCTTGTTGACGACATGGAAGACCGTTTCCAGTTTCGGATCCCAGTAGATGCCGTCACTCATAGCCTTCCCCCTCAGCTTGCATGTGACTATCTTCATCAGGTCCATCTTGATCGGCTGCTCGATGAACACCACGTAGTTCTCCGACATGGCTGCAAGCAGCAGGAGGGTTTCAAAGGGCTTTGCAGCTGAGGGCGGCAATCGCATCACCCACAAACGATACGTCCGGGAAGGTTGGCTTACCAAAGCTGTGATAGTAGGAGGGATGGGACTTGTTTGCAGGAACAATAGAGCAAAGTATTTTGGTTCCCTGAAGGGTGTCTTTGGCATCTGTCTTCTCAGGAGGCACTCTGATGATGTTGTACAGGGCTCCTGGAACAGCCAGGATAATGTCCTGTTTTAATCATGTATTTTGCTTTTTCCCATAACAGAGGACGACAGACAAAACCTTAACGTGGCCCTTATGGACGATGGGACCGACCTTTGCTTCCATAGGAGTTACCCATATTGTAGGTGGTGCCGTCGGGGTCGTAGTGTGGGTGGGCGGTGGCTCCATTTACAGCAATGAATTTGCTCCAGTCTACCTACAAATCATGGGGGTGAAAGAGAGCAAGGTGATGATTACGTGGCTGGTACAACAGATGATGTGTTTGGATGTGAAATATAATTAACGACATTGACATTAACATATTACTCCATGATGATCATGATGGTACCTTTTCCAATGATTCTAAGTTCTCCGGGTTCACTCGGTGCATAAAATTAGTCTCTGTGCTGACAAAGAAGTCACCCTTGTACTTCACAAAGCTCACACTCGCATTGTCCGTGGGCGCTGTAACACAGAGAAATACAGGATTATTGGCCTTTAGTGGGAGTCGGCCTCCTTTAATAGAGATCTAATTCAACTTCTATGTTATGAAAGTCTAACCGAATGTGAACATTTAGTCAAAGCGAAGCCCCCATTTCTTCCCCCACTGGTTCCCATGTTTATATACGACACATCGTACTTTAGAGGCTGGCCTCAGTGCAGGGTAAGCAAGACAGAGTTTATGCAAACATTTGACCCGATCTTCTCTCTGGCTCAAATAACTCACAGTGTTTCATTTATATTTCATTTAAAGTGATTACATTCTTCCCCAGTGAGACGACTAGTCCATTATTTATTAATACTTTATTCCCTACTTTCTTGTTCAGTAATGTGGTGGAAAAACTATAGAACAGTACGGTGGGAATCCTATCATACTGAAGTAAAGCAACTTTATGAAAGAAAAGTTGAGTATTTATTCTCTTTGTAAAGAAGGTCCGATGGTCGTGTAGTGCAGGCAGTCGGCACAGGAAAAGAACCAGGACTGCAGGATCTGTGCACCTTATCAACGGATGGAGCACAGGGTGGCTGTCGGACGAGTCAAAGACATCTGTTTAACAATTGATCAACCATATACTCTCCCCATTCAATCCCCTGCTGTCCGAGCTGAGCGGCCATATCGACACAGACGTTTTAACGTACCTCAGAGCACTAACCAAATGAAACGGCCCAGTGTAACTTTGCCTTCACGGTGTACTCACTTATCATTTCAAAGCGAGACAGGAAGCGCTGGAAGACGTTCTTACAGGGGTCGGGCATGGCCAGGGTACCAAATTCCGACATCACAATGCGGTCCTTTTCGCGATTGTTCTTGTAGGCATCGCTGTCCAAGAACCGACTCATGTACGTCACCTGACCTTCGTGGATCTTGAACTGGTGCAGCATGGCCATCCCATCGAACCAGTGGTTGTAGCTGTGACAAAATATACACTTAATCACATCTGATGGGAAACTGTTTTGTTTGTGTTGTGCAGGGGCACTTTGCGGGGCGTCCAACTCACTGTGTGTTTCCAAACTCAAACTTCCCCGGGCCATTGCGGAGGAGTTTGCCACTGATCCAGGATGGGATGGTACCTTGCACTTCAGCGGATATCGGCTCCGGGGTCTCTTCTACCGAGCGCACCAGAGGTTCAATTGTCTCTAGTCCCTTCAATGCTGAGGTAATGAATTCCGTTGCCTTGCCATTGTCAACAGGCTTAGCGTCGTCTGTAGGAACAGAGAAATAATCAGTGTCACACCCACAATACTTTTACCTATTCCGGACGGACACTAGGCAGATGGCGATCTTTTAACCATCAAACTATCCGGCACTATTTTGTGTGGGCACCTAATGCATTGAAGTGTGTCAGAGGTCAATGTCAGTGAAATACAGTATACACTGCACCGTACACAATGTCCTGACCTCTGGCACGGAAACGACTGTACGGCAAATATTTTCAGCAGTAAACACGGCGGTTTAGCATCTCTCCATGTGAGGGAAGGTGAGACCAAAGGTCCCTCCCTCAGAGGGAGAAATAACAATAAAGGCCTCAATGTCACCGTGACTTTGTGTCGATTAAAGTCACTAAAGTGTTATTCATACAAACCTGCTCCACAACTTTTCGACACGTAACTATAATAACTCTCAGCTCCACGGAGGGAGTAAGACGTCCCCCGGTATCACACCCATGCACAGTGGTAGTACTGTTGGTGAAGCTCAGCAGTTAAATTGGATCCAAATTCAATTTAAGAATTGGGTCCTATGAATGACTTCTACTTTAAAAAGAAAAGCTGTATGGTCCTTATTATGTATGAATCACATTCCATTTGTTCCCAGATTCAAATTGCCGTATGAAATGAAGACAACTAATGAAAAGTGTAACAGGGAACCTTTAGGACTTTATAACAAAATACTGTTATTTAAATCTTTGAGGGGGAAGTTACCCATTTATTTTATGTCCCAAAACCTGTCTGGATTGGAAGTGCTTAGCAAAACTATTGGCAATGTCCAGACAATAAACTCCACCGTGAAAGGCACCATGTGTTTTCAAGATGTGTTGTTTCGTAATGGCACTTTATTTTTAAATGGGATACGATTGCATTGTCTCTCTTCACATGCCAACAATGCCCCGCTTATCACAGAATGTGTTATGAATCTGTAAAGAAGACCAGAGTCTTCCGGGAAATGTCTGATGCTCGGCGTTATGACTGTACACCATGTGTATTGCAAATATCACCTACACGTTGGCTGTTTACATTGTGATTACAGCATGTGGTCAATGGTGAAACGGATCAAACACCAAGGAGTTGCAGCCTGTTACATGAACTATTAAATATGAAACCTGACTCCGATTTCAACAGGAACAATTTGTCCTGCCAACATGAACTGAGCCGTATCTTACTGCGCATCATCGCGCTCTGCCCCGAAATAACACTGAATGCAGATAGAATAAGAACGATAACAGCCCTTATGCTTCAATTGTGTAAGGAGACGAAATGCATGACGTGCATGTGGCACATGGCTCTCAAAATGTCCCATCTGTGCAATACCAGCGCTCCAAAACCACCACCAGGTGAATACTGCTCCTTTTTTTATAACGTCTTAATGTCACAGCAGTTAAAAAAAAATATACACAAAATAGATGAGACTTACCTGCCGTCTCGAGCTTCACAGGAGGCATCTCACCAGTGAACGCACTCGGAAAATATAACTTTCCAAGTCCAGGATCATAGATCTGCGCTATACGCAGGCAGCAGCGCTCTTATGTAACAGCGTAACGTAATACAGGTTTGGGCATGCGCAAAGCACATTTTGAAGCTCGTTTGGAGATGCTGTTCTGAGTTATCCCTGATTCGACTCAGTGGGTGACAGGGGAATTCATCTGATCGTGCACAAAGTAATCATGTAAACTTCCACTATGTTCGATCGTGCTACACCTGCCACTGTGTTACTCACTGCGACAACATAAACTAAGGAAGTGCACGTGAACGCAGCAATCAGAGGGAGACGCCCGAACCATAGTGTGTGAAAGAAATAACGCTGTCAGAGTGGGATTTGCAAGAGGTTTATTATGGACGTATATTTGATGATGACAACGGGTTTGTCCGGGTTGTAAGACAGAATGGCACGGGGATCAGAGTATTTAGTTGTGGATGCATCTGCAGCTACATTTGAGCCAGCAATATGGGTTGACATGATTTACACTCTTAATTCTTTGAATGCAACATTCACAAACTGAAGGGAACGAGCAGCATTTTGCTATGCCAATATTCTGAATTGCACTTCCTCTAATGATGAAGGTGGTACGTAGAAGTAAAAGAAGAATCCATCAAAGTCTGCTGAATACAGGGAAGGAAGTAGCCTACAAGCAACTGCCTAATAAGGAAATAGACAGTAGACTGCGGTCATCCGGACAAATATTTCAAAATGAAATGCACCTCTATACAGGGCGTTACGGTACCGCTTGCACAGCTCACAAGGCTCTAATAATCATTTCTCAATCTTTCAACTGTCTTTAAAACAGATCCTGAAAATGTTACATTCCAATTCCACTTGATTCCTGTTCATGAAGACCTCCTCTATGACCCTGTAAATTGTCATGATATTTTACTGCACAGTTTTGGTGCCAGTGAAAGATAAAATCAGTAAATAATGATCAATAACCTTTGGCTTTTTCTTTCATTTTCTCCAAAACTGTAAATGACAGTTCAAAGATGAGAGAATGGAAGAGGGAAGAGGGGAGACATGATGAATAGAGTCTTTTTTCGGCTGGGAAATAAAAGCATAGTCGGGTTCATGTCGTCAGAAAAGTACATTAGTGGAAGCAGGCGGTGTTATTGGGAGATGCTGGTGTGAAGGTGAACGGGGGAGGCAGGTGGGAGAGGCTGCTGCAGGTGTGAGGATGTGGAAAAGAGGGGAAGTCCAAGGACATCTGGTGAATAGGAAAATGCAGTGAAGGGGACCGTGAAGGGACACAGTTAAAACATTTATTATGTTATTATTAGCTGACAATCACAAGAGATTGCCATCTGTCAGGTGAATTGGACAGCCAACAGTTAGTAAGCTAGCAGCTAGTTAACTAGCAGCTAATTAGCTAACAGCTGATTAGCTCTCCTTATGGGCCGTGTGTCTGTCTTCACTCGCAGACTGACCCACATAATCTGTTAGAGGATTACAGTAATGTCCCGGTGGAGGAGGACGCTCTAGACTGCTTATGTCTTTGTTATAAAGCTCTTACAACCTTCCTGGTAATGTATTTTTACTGTCTAGCAGTTGGGACGGAATATTCCTAATAATTACAGTGTCATGTCAGTAGACTGTAGGCTAGCTGCATATGCTAGTGGATATTAACCCCATTTGGTAGATTACAGTACATTTGTAAACTAACCGTTTTTTTCCTCACAGGTTTGTTTACGGATTGCCACCTCATGTGGTAAGGCTAATTTTAATGTGACATTGCAGTTTAATTGGGTTACTTTGACCATAAACTGTATAAAGTAAAGCTTTCGATTCAAAGTAACAGGAGTATCGCTAACTGCTTAATATACCTTGTAGAAAAAGGACAAGGATTCTTGTACACTAAACGTATTTATTTATTTACGAGTTATGGTTACTAATTGCTTTTCAAATGAATATTTTACATTGTCAGGTTTCAATTGTCCCACCTGGACCACAAATCCAACTAATGATGTGTTGCTTTGCATATTTATACTTTGCAAAAAACGATCACCCGACAGCGTATTGGTCCAGTAGCTTTAACAGTAGCAGCCACTCTGCATCATGAGTAGTGTTTCCCTGGTTGGATTACAGCTCTTTACAGGCCGGGGGGGCGAACTCCGTCTACCTGATAATATTAGAATTGTGCGGATTATGCAGAGGCAGAAATGACATGCTGTCATATGCACAATGTAAGGCTTCAATGCAAAAAGTAACCTTAAATTACTTCTGTTGGGACCTCTGTCTATTTGATCATTAAATGGCAAAATCTGTAGAACAAGACACCCAAGTTCTCTGTTTTTGAGGACTTGCTGCTTTACATTACATTACATTACATTACATGTCATTTAGCTGACGCTTTTATCCAAAGCGACGTACAATAAGTGCATTCAACCATAGGGTACAAACTCAGGAGAACAAGAAACAAGAAAGTGCAATTTCCTCAAATAAGCGAATTTACAATTTGCTATAGATGAGTGACGTCACAAGTACAATTTAAGTGCTACAATTTGTTAGTCTTTAGTCGAGGTAGAGTCTGAAGAGGTGTGTCTTTAGTTTGCGGCGGAAGATGTGAAGGCTCTCTGCGGTCCTGATGTCTTCAGAGAGCGCGTTCCACCATTTCGGCGCAAGGACAGCGAAGAGTCGAGACCTAGTCGAGTGTTTTGCTCTCAGTGAGGGAGGGACGAGTAGTTTTGCAGATGCAGAGCGGAGAGTGCGGGTTGGGATGTAGGGTTTGACCATGTCCTGGATGTAAGCTGGACCCGATCCATTCACAGCATGGTACGTGAGCACCAGTGTTTTGAACTGGATGCGGGCGGCCACCGGTAGCCAGTGAAGAGAGCGGAGGAGTGGAGTAGTGTGGGAGAATTTCGGAAGGTTGAAGACCAGTCGAGCTGCTGCATTCTGAATGAGCTGCAGAGGTCGAATGGCGGTGGCAGGGAGACCAGCCAGGAGGGAGTTGCAGTAGTCCAGGCGGGAGATGACAAGAGCCTGAATCAGTACCTGCGCTGCCTTCTGAGTGAGAAGGGGACGTATTCTCCTGATGTTGTAGAGCGTGTATCTACAGGATCGCGTTGTCGCAGTGATGTTGGGAGTCAGGGAGAGTTGGTTGTCGAGTGTGACGCCGAGGTTCTTAGCAGTCGAAGTGGGCGTTAGCACAGAGTTTCCAAAGTTGACTGTCAGGTCCTGGGTAAGCGAATCTTTTCCGGGAAAGAGAAGTAGTTCAGTCTTGTCGGGGTTGATTTTCAGATGGTGGGCGGACATCCACTGAGAGATGTCAGTTAGACAGGCAGGCAGAGATCCGAGCCGCCACAAATACGAAATGATAAACTGAGCAAAAAGTCTGATTAATTAATAATGAAAAGATTTTCAGCTCTAAACAGGGAAAAGTCCAATCAGTGAAGATGTGGAAACCAAGGTCCCTTTCTTAACAGTCTCCATCTTACCAACAGGACACACGACACCAGCTGACCGGCTCTGAGCATGCCTTCCACGGCGAGCTCGCCTCACTGGCCTCTATCCGAGTTGCTCGGGCAGCGCAGTCTGCTGGGCCTCGCAGCGCTGCTGGCATGGCTCGTCCTCTTCCATCTCCTCGTGAATGTTTGGCTCCTCTGCGTCTTCACCAGTCTCTTGGTGGTCCTCGGAGGTTGGCTCGGGTCCCGTGCCGCGCTGGACGCAAACAGCCTCCTCCACCTGGAGCACTTTTTGCCTCTCGGCAAAATGAGCCCTCCCGTGCATTCGCCTGAACACGAGTGGCGGTTGAACCACGAGATCCACAATGCCGTCCACAAAGCGGTGCGTGACTTTGTGTCCTCGTGGTACCGCACTCTTCTGCCGGAGGAGGAGGGGGAGTTTGAGCGCGCGGTGCGTAACACCATGCTGGAGTCGGTGATGGAACTGAAGGAGCGAGCGCGGCGAGTGGACCGAAAGGCGCTGGTTCAGCGGCTGCTCGAGCTGTACGGCTGTCACCTGCAGAGCTACATGACGGCCCGGCAGATACAGTCGACGCAGAAGCAGAGCTTCAGCCTCTGGCAGCTCTACAGCCAAGTAGACGCCCCTCACCCGGCTGTGAGAAGTGCTGCCGCCGAGCTCTGCTACTCGAGGGCCCTGGTTAACCTCATGTTACACGTGCTTGTTCCGTCCCCCCACATGGAGACCAGGACCGGAGGTTACATGGTTACGGAGCTCATCACCTGCAACGTCCTGCTGCCGCTCATAAGCAGGGCGTCCGATCCTGACTGGCTCAACCAGACCATCGTGGACGTCATCGCCAGGTCCAGAGAACCACAGGAGGGAGCTCCTGCGGTTCTCTGTACGGCTGCTCTGTACGGCTGTCAGATCCAGCACGAGTCCTGGACCACCTGCAGGTCCCTCTCTTCTTCTGATGCGGCCAGCTTCAACAGCATAGGCACCTCCGACCTGGACGACCTGCAGAGCCACAGCAGCATCTGCGAGAAGGACTCCTCACCGAGCAGCACGGTCAGCCTGGCGTCCGTCGGGAAAGTAGAGGGTTGCCACGGAGGTTCGCTCACGCCGTGCAAAGTGAACTGCTGCTCCGTCACGTCTGGCCGCTACTCCCACTCACCGGATCCCAAACGGATTTCGTTGGACTCCTTGATTCAATTGGACTCCGAAGACGACCTGACGGGAGGCTTTTGTGACTGTGGTTCTCCAACCGACATCTGCAACGCGATGACTTTAAAAGAAGACGAGGCGTTCGGGTGCTTCGGTCCTCTGAAAAACCTCGGGCCTAAAATGGGGGTGCCCGAGGACTCCCAGTGGCCAGCGGGCATAGCCCAAGAAAAATCTCCAACATGTTCCCCACGAAGACTCCGCCTAGCTTCCTGCCCCTTTGACACCCACAACATCCAAGCTGCGCCTGTGAACCTCCACAATGTGCAAATTTCTGGCACGGTCGCTGCAAAAGAACAGCGTGGCACAGGCACACATCCCTATACTCTCTACACTGTGAAAGTAAGGCCACCACCCCCTATACTTCCTTATTTTTTATTATTAGCTGTTGGTCAGCACGCATTAACCTCCACTTTCTGGCTTACAGTTTGAGACCCTCGCTACAGCGGAGAACGGTGAAACTCTGCAACCTGCGTCCTGTCGTACCGTCAACCGGAGATACAGCGAGTTCCTCAACCTGCAAACACGTTTAGAGGAGAAGCCCGAAGTCAAGAAGGTAATCAAGAGTAAGTAACTATCATCTTCTTTAATTGACCATTGAACGTCAGTGTAACGTGAGCTGGTGCATCAATGCGGATCAATGTTGTGTGTTCCAGATGTCAAAGGGCCAAAGAAGATGTTCCCGGACCTGCCGTTTGGCAATGCAGACAACGACAAGGTCGAAGCCCGCAAAAGCCAACTGGACACGTTCCTTAAAGTACGCATCGGAGCGGCAGCGTCTGTCATGCATTAGTTTGTGGGTGACAGTGGTTGAGAGGAGAGCACGGTCGTCTTCCAATCGAGGCGATCGGCGGTTCCGATCGCCTCGATTGGAGCAATCTACAATCTGACTGCTGTGCGCTGTCTGGTAGCTCCTGTCTTCAGTGTGTCGGGTGTAAATGATAACATTTAGCGTAAAAAGTTGTCGTTCTTTCTCTTTTTCTCTGTAAGCAATTAAGCTCTATTCCTGAGACATCCAACAGTGAGGACATGCAGGAGTTCCTGGCTCTCAACTCTGATGTTTGTACATATTTTGGAAGAAAGCCATTTGTCAAGTCGAGAATTGATAAGGTCAGAAAGACTCTACGTGCTGTATAGCTTGTTCTTGTTATTGTAAGAAACCAAAAAGTAGCTTGTCACCTCTCAGATGAAATGACATTCTTGTGTATTTCTCACCGAGTTAGAAGAGAAGAAGATGCTCATTGATGTCTGCGTGAACATGACTACATAAGACTGTATGGAGCTGAAGCCAGCTGCCGGTTAGCTTAGCTTAGCTTAGCTTAGCATGGACTGGAGGGGAAGGGAACACCTACCATATAGATTATACATACAAAAGTATGTTCTATGTATTTGTTTCGTGGGACTTTTAATTATCTCCCGTCTTCTCTGTTGTTAAAGATGATGGAAAATGCTTTAGACACTTTGAAGACGGCTTTCCCTCATCCTGAGCCGCTCAGCCCCACGGAGGACCTGGAGGGAGATGCAGAAGGAAGAACGACGGACAGCAGAAAGTACATGTGAGACTTCCATATCAGTACGTTGAGAACAAAATGTCATCCACAGGGACCTTTTCATAATAAAGAAGTGCCCTCTTGTGACCCGCCATCACACTGTTAATAGATCAGTCATTTGAATACATTCATGGGCCTTCAACATTATCCAGGGATTTATTAGAGGAAAAAAACACAGCACACTTATTTATTCTTCTGAACTAATTAATAGTAATTATTATTTTTGGATTCTTGTTTCTTTCTCTTTCATGCATCAGGAGGCTTAGGTTCCAAAGCAAAATTTCCCCGTCTCTCAACATACCTGACCTACACCCCAAAGTGACATACTGCTTTAGTGAAGGCAGCGCTGTAAGCTACCACACCGTGTTCATCATCTCTGATTGATAGATGTGTGTATGAAAGGGGATTTGGACACGGCAGACATATTTGCTCTACTCATTTCAGATCCTAAATGGCATGTCGCTGTCGGGCCTGGAGAGCTTCGTCAAAGAGCAGGAAATACTTTCATGTGAGCGGAATGGGAAAGAGACATCCAAGCGGAGCTGGGTAAAGCCTGGCATGGACAGGAAGACGTTAGGAAAAACTCACAGCACAGGTTGAGAAGTTTATTATTAGATTGTGTGTGTGTGTGTGTGTGTGTATATATATATATATATATATATATATATATATATATATATATATATATATATATATATTATTGTTGTACCAGTCTCAGTTGTATCCCTAAATGTCCGTGTGGAATGTTTGCTTAATGCAGTAACTCAGCATCACCACTAGGGCGCGATAAAACTCCATCAATGAGTATTTTTCTAGTTGTCACTTTTTACCATTGATGCATTTTGTCTATACAGATTCATATGTGCATTTAAGTGTTCCTGTGAATTCGTTGTGTGTCCGTGTTTGTTGTCTGTGCACTGCAGACACAGCCGTGGCGGATGTTGCTTTGAACATTTTGTGTCTGCTGATGAAGGACCAGTGGAGTTGGCTTTGCACTGAGAACATACAGAAGACCATTAGGCTGCTCTTTGGCACCTTCATTGAGAGGTCAGTGTCCCTTTGAGTCGTTGGTTACTGCACATACAGCTCAACATGTCAATAACACAGTGTCTGCATCCCAAAGAAGGCAGGAGTTTGTGCATTTTGTAATTAATTAAGTAATCAGTAATCCCATATTTATTGTTATAATTATGTGCTGCCACAGCTGTTGCAAGATTACTGCAGCAATACTACTCACACACGAATATGTTGTGACTTCGGACCTATTTTGCTGGCTTGTGACATTGTGGCTGTCTTTGCCCTTCATACAGCTGAGCAGCCAGATGTTGGCTTCTTTTCTCGTAAGCACTAAGTGGTTTGTGGCACTCGCAAGACGTTCTCCCAGATTCTCTCAGATTTCTTTGTAAATATGACTGTTGCCACATAGTCAGTGGGAATTGTTCTTGACTAATCTCTGTCATTGACTTGATTTTACGCCTCCATTTTTTAACTTAACATACGAGCATGTCAGTAAACAGTATGCATGCTCCTTCAATGGTTCATAGAGATTTAATAATACTTGTGCGTGTTGCTTCCCTTTGTCTGCACATCTTTGTTCCCTCCTAATCAATCAAAGCATGTTTGCATGTAAACGCAATAATTTGATGATATCTAGTAGAAAAAGCACTGCTTCATTAAACTACTGATTCTACTTCAGATGGTTGGATTTAGGCGTTGCCCACCTCACCAGTGCCCCCTGCTGGGTGATTTACCTTCAAGTGCTGCAGGAAGCTGTGTGGCCGGGGGGCACGCTGCCTGCTCAACCACGGCCGGAGCGCAGTGCGGCCGAAAGAGAGGAAACCAAGGAGCAGTGTCTGGACTGTCTCATGCAGCTTCTGCCAGGTGCACAGAGGCTGCTTCCTGCGGCAGCTCTTTGAATGGCTGTCATTTCGATTTTCAAAGGCTCTTGAAACTAGTTGACTTTCGATTTGCCTAATTCTTTTTGGCAGAGCTTATCGCTGACATGTTGGGAAGTGAGAAGTACAGACTGAGCTTGGAGACCATGCTGGAGTCTTTACAGGATCATCAGATAAACAAGTGAGTCAACAACCCAGGTGTCGGGTAAACACACGTCTTATTTTGCTGTTTTAACACGAGTACACTCAGAGCTGGGTAGATAAAAAGCATAACTGGCTTTGGCCATATTGCAGGATTTTCTTTTTAGAATGGGAGGAGGCTCAGATTAATGTCAAGCTGGTACAAAGTGTCAACGATGAAATAATTAATATGTACCCTAATGCCTCAGTTTGCTGATTTCAGCATAATAAATTCAATACATCTGCTCTATTTAATCTCTATTTATAAAACTCCTTCACCATGTTTGTGTGCAGGCATCTAATCTACTGCATCTGTGACCTGCTACTCGACTTTCTGATCCCTGAGTCGTGCAGCGCGGCCTTCCAGGGGTCTCTGCTGCAGAGCCTGGGCAAAGACGCAGAGAGGGAAAGTCCGCTGGCGTGAACAGCAGTCCCTCACTCAGATGAGTGGTCTCATGATTGCTATCGTTAGCAGAGCTGCCAATGAAATCAGCTGTGCTCTAAAAGACAGTGATGGCTTACACTATATCTGACATCAACATGATATTGTGTAGTTCATCAGGTAACTGGACAGTTACATTATGACGATTGATGTTGAGGAGCAAGAGAGGTGCACATTACCGCTCAGCTGACCTATTTTCATGTGTGTTTTCATGTCCGTTTACTCAAGACCATTTTTCATTGAAGCGCATATGTTTTGCAGTAAAATATTCCATAGTGAAGCATTAAGATTAAAGATGTGTCAACTTCCTTTGTTCTGGCCGTCTATTGGAACCATCCTTGAATGATTCACATCTCCCATGATTCACCTGAAATCACAGACTGAAATTTCATCCATGAAAAGGGCAGCATGATCAGGCAAACGAAAATAATGACAAATCCCAGTAGAGTGCAAACATCATCTCCTCTATATAAAAATCAATATGCTTCAACCCCAACGTTTGTCTCTCAATGAGATATTAACAGTTGAAAAGGCGTACACACGTTGGTGAAGTATATCTTTCTGATTTGGCATCATCCTGCAAGCAGCAGATTATGTCATTTATTATATAGCCTGCATGTTGCACATCACAACATGCCCACTAACTGTGAATGTTTGATTGTTTCCAGACCCTCAATAAATGCTGAAGGAAAACTGATGTTTCTGCCGACGTCAATAAGTCACTTTATTGAAAACCACCTCAGAGAATTCCGGCTGAGTTGGAATCAGATCAAAGCTCACATTTCTTTGTCTGTGCGGAGATTACAAACCTGGCAGTTTGCGTTTGCCGACCATATGAATGCAAAACACGGGGCCTCACTGCAGAAAATGCAATCTCTGTACAATGCCACAGTCTATAGTCTTCAAGAAGTTTGAGTCTAAATGTGCGCTGGTTGTTTCCAACTTAATTTCAAAAGTACTTCTCACACTGTATCTTAGGAACATTCAGAACAACCCACTTCCTTTCACATGATATCATGAGCTGATACTGGCGGGCTCCCGCCTGCTGTCTCATGCTTTGGGACTTTACTGGCAACCCGAGGAGACGAAACGCTCATGCTGCATCGATGGTGGCCCCATCCGGTGCATCTGTGCCTCCCTTAGCTGTAGCGGCTGTACTTTTAACAGAAATGTGATAAACATCTGTGAAATTTCACAAATAATCTCTGACTGACATGCAGACGGCTTCAATCTAATGATACTTGTTTGGTGTCTTCTCTGGAATGGTTGCTTGTAGGTTTTTTTGGCGGGTGTAAATACTTTCCAACCAGTTCAATGTTAGTTTTTAAACAACGGACCTGTATACAGAACCATTGACCTTCTCTTCCACTCAGCAGCCACTCGGTTGCTGAACACAACGAGCCCGATGAAACCCTTGAATGACATTGCAGCGACGCCAGTCCACTTGGTGGCGGTAAGGCACCTCGGATCGCCAAACACCAACAAACACACAATTTTGAAGAAGAAGCAAAGATCAAAGCAGCATCAGAATCAACAGGACAACAGGACCACAGGGCCTTCACATGCCAACGAGCGTCAATATAACATATCTGTACTTTTACACAGAATGCCAGTATTACACAGAAACGTCATTTCTTGGGAGAGATTACGCTCAACTTCTGCAAAAAAGGCATCAACCAATCACCTGAAGAGGAACATATTAAGAATGAGACTTGTATTGCACAGCACACAGAGGCTGTGGGGACCAAAACCGAGACGGCAAACTTCATTACTGCTAGGCTGCATAACGGCCGCGACTTAAATTCACCAAAAGCATTTTGCAAAAGAGTCAATTTAATGAAATGGCTTACGCTAGCTTAAGTTGTCCAGCTTTTCGCTAGAGGCAGCCTGCCAGACGCGCCTCGAGGTCAGAAGGATCGGGGTAGTTGGTCCTTTGCCGGCGCAAATCTGGTCCAACCTTTAATTGAAAAAGACTGTTGGAAATTTGCATCGCTGCAAAAGTATTGGCATTTTTTTTTCCATTTTCCTGTTGTTATTTCGTCACACGTCCCGAACTTTCAAGTAAACAAACACAATGTGCACTTTCTTTCCCGTCCCACCTCTGCTGTGAATTGATCTCCCTGATGTTGCCCTAATGTCTGTCAGCGCTTTTAATAATTATCAATCCTATATTTAATAATCCTGTTTTTGCACCTTGGATGGAATAAGCTCTGTGACGCCGTCGGCCCTGATCGCTGACGTAGGCTACTTTTTTTTACCGTTTTACAATGATTTTCATTAAACTGAGTGAAGCTCATCCACCGCAATTGCCCGGCAGAACTGGGAAAGGACTCCACTCTTTCTTCACATGTAATGGCTTTATATTATATTACCACACAGATTAAGTGATACGACAGGGCCTGTTCCCCACAGCCAGTTTCACTGCACCCAGGGGATTCTCTCTGTTGATACTGGTGTCTACTTTCCATGCTTTTGTTGAAATAACCACATATGTACTGAAATGCCTGCAACCAGTCCCATGTTGCTGCTGCATTAGTTTCATACAATGCAAATTAGACATTGTTTTGCCGGCGGATCATTATTAATGACTTCGGCGTTGTGTCTCCACACTCCACAAGTGTTGACGTGGCCTATTTAATCACTGTCTGCATTCAGGCCTTAAACGTCGTTGCTGCTGTTTTAGGACGTTGCTAGAAGTGGACGTTCGGCCTTTTTGGGTTGAGTAAAACGTAGTTCCTCTGGACGAAGCTCTGCTCTTGATGGTGAGATTGATTTAAACACGATGACGATGATGAACTGGATTCCTGATGACTTCTCACGGTTCCAAACAGATGTCTGTACATGTGTTATATCTGGGGTGTCAGCCAGAGGCTACACTTTGCTCACTGACCACAGTCATTCCCACCCTTTTCAAACCGTTGCACAACAGTCCAACTAAAGCAGACCCACAGCTGAAGTATCATGCAGGGAGAAGGTTAAATGGGGAATTCCATCTTAAACCTACTCATTCGCATTTGGCGCAAACTCCCAGATGTAGCAGTTACTCAGAGCAGACAAGGATCCCTCGCTGACGTTGAGTGTGTATGTTTTACTTATAAAAGTCTGTTTTCCATTTAGCATTTTTTTTTAAATCACAGAACGTATTTAAAAACAAGAATTTAATCTGTATCCTGTTAGCGTGTCGTGTGCTGCGATGTACAGATGTACGGTGAGGTCGTTTGGGGACCCTCGACACCCCGCCGTAGTGCTTTATCTACTCGGGCTGGTTGGACTCCCCTCTAGTGTTTTATTTATTTGTCTGGCCAGTTGTTTGGCTAAAAGAGAAGAGGTGTGTTGACCCGTGTGTTCAGTGTTGTTTTAAATATCAACTTGCTTTGAGTAGAGGGAGAGACATGTTAACTGCTTTGGGCAGAGTTGACCTCTTACTGACCCCACTTTGGGTGGTGACCCCAACCGTCTGAGTCAAACCGTCCGTCATTCTCAGTTCTGCTTCTGATGACTCTTGAGGTTAATTGATGGTTTAATCGGGAGTTAACGGGAGGTCAACATGATACGTCTTCTTCTTTAAAACAATTTTCACTAATAAAAATATATTTTTTGAGTCTGGAAACAGTACAACACACACAGTGTTGTTACCATAACGTGGTACATTTCCTTGCAGCTACAATCCGCTTGAATAAACCGTATCGAGCCAGTTTATTCACACTCAGGGGCTCCGCAACCAAGATTTTACATTTGATTGGTAAAGTCTTGCCCATCATCAGCTGATCATTACAAAATGACGTCTAAAACTCAGCTGTTATTTTTAGCTGGTAGCTAAATGTTTAAATCATCAGGTCTTAAAATGCATTGATTCCTTCTTCTGTCTGGTGAGGCCGAGTTAAAGGGAACCTGCACTTTGCTTGATCTACGGCCACCAGGGTGCCGTAGATCACCGGACGTTCTAGGTCAAATTATCAAAATGTTTTACTCTACTCTAAATCAGTGGTTTGTACTGTCAGCAGTACTGAAACCGAGCGGAGGAGGTTGATCGTAAGACGTAACTCTGTTTCTGGCCTGGTTCGGCCTTAATAAATGTACTTGATATATTTCATAGTCTGCTGTCTGGAACCACTGAGTCGGTCTTTACAAAAAGTATTCTATATGGATTTCAGAAATGTCAGACAAAGAAATTTGTAGATCATAGAAATGTTAAAAACCGGCCATAGTGGCAGGTGAGGAGAGAAAATACATTTCAGTATTATTTATAGGCTTATTATACTATATATTGAATAAATGCTGTACCACACAGGAATACGGCTCACAGTTGAGTTCGGTTCCTGCTGAATAGTCACCTCTTGAGCATCAACGCAGTTCACGACAAATTTAACTGTTTAAAACATTTTTTTTTGCCCACCATTAAACACTGTTTGGTGCTCGACAAGTTAGCGCCACGCAAGGTATTGTTGAGCCTCTCAGTGAAGCTGGAGGGAGCTAAATGGCCTATTTAATACCAGCATTACACATGTTGGATAACTGTAGAAATAGTAACATTAATAACATAATAATAAAATTCGTGCCCCTCTGAGCTCTAATGTGATTTTTCTTTGAAAACCTTATGGGAAACAAATGTGTTTTGTAATATCGTAGTGACATCAATGTCTGTTTTTTTAATGTGGTCTTTTTGACTGATAAGATAATGTCCAAAACCAAGCAATGTCTTTGTCCTTCATCCCATGAAGGGTACATTTTCAGTCCTTCTTTTTCACATCCGCTCAGGTCAGCAGGTGTGGAGCTGCAGAGGAGTGACTGACACTTCAGCGGGGCGACGCTTGCTGCCACACATATTGGAAGCATTGCTGAGTCCGGTTGAGACTAAACATACGGCTCCCTACTGTGCTAACGGCCCGTCAAAACATGGAGACATTTTGACGGACGTTTCTTACCAAGGTCAACGTGCTCTTCTTGGTATGTCTTGAGTTTGCCTCCACCACAAATTAACATGTCAGACCTCATAAAATAGTGCAAGTTACAACAAATTTGGTAAAAATATCTGCAGTTGGAACTGTATATTCACTGCTCCCCTTGTACGGTGTGGCTGTCACCAACGTGATTTACACTCGCACAGTGCAACAAACACACCTACTGTTCCCACTTTCTTAGGGGAAACAGACTGTGCCGCTGGTTTTCGATATTTTTAATTTCTGACCCTTTACAGCCAGGCGGTGTCTGACCGCGTCCCCTCGTCACGCGGTGCACAGAGTTGCGTTGGCGTCTGACAGCTTTTACAGTTCTGAAGAGGGGAAACTCTCCAGTAAAAGAGAAAAAGTGACGGAAGAGTCAGAAGGAATAAACACAATTTTGTCTTGCTGAATTTAGTTTTCCACCTTTCAACCGTTCTAACCAGATGTATCTAGCAGATGACCGCTGGACTTTGCAGCAGCACATACAGACATAGAGCACACTTGCAATCTGTATTAGCTTGTGATGGTGAACCGATGACTCGCTCATCTGATCCCTTCTCCGGTATATTTGCTTCATCTTTAATGACTGCTGCCAAATCATTTTTAGAGAATCGTGATCAAGCTTCTCTGCTATTTTGTCCCGTCTGCCAACAGGACGTTGGAGGGTATTCTGTCCCACCTGTGAATGGATGATAGGCGAGCCCCCTCATATTTCAATATTGTGCAACATGCTTGTTAAGTTTGTTCCTCCCCC